TAAGCATATTAATTAGTAGGCAAACATAAGTACCTATATGAATGTCATCTCTCTTTGTGTGTCACTCTATAAATTAATTATCAATCCCAAATGGAATAATCACATTCTATCCCATCCCAACTCTCCATCTCAATCTCGGGCTCCTCGACCCGTGACGGGCCCGCAAGCTCCATCCACATATCGGCCGAGTCGAGTGGCGACTCGTTTATGGCTCGGATGTCGCCCGGCGACAACTCCACCCTCGTCGGCACGTAACTACTCCCACCACCACTTGGTCCGTGGGTCCCGCGGGCCATCCGCTCGGCCGCCAGCTGGGCAGCTCTGCGGATGTCATTCGGGTCGGGTCCAACGGGCCTCGGGTGGGCCTCGGCTAGTTCCGGAAAATTGAGTCGGGCCCCGGAGCCCTTGAGGTGAAATGCCGCCGCATCATAGGCGGCGGCCGCCATCTCCGGCGTGTCGAAGCTTCCCAACCAAATCCTCGTTCTTTTCCCGGGCTCGCGTATTTCGGACACCCAACGGCCCCATTTCCGTTTCCGAACGCCTATGTAGTTCGGCGTCAAATCCTTCTTTTCCATGCTTACTAGTCTCTCTTCTTGTTATTTCTTTTTGTTTGTTTTTCTTTCTTGATGGGATTATGATAGTTTGGAGTGATTAATGAGGTTATATATATAATTGGGTGAAGTGAGGTTCCAAGACGTTGCATGGAAGTGGATTAAAGTTGTCTTACAATACAACAATGAGCGGAGATTAATATTATAATTAAAGTTAAAAATATATGTCTTTATAGATTTTGAGGTGTGGAGCCACGTGTCGTCATGAGCTTTGCTCTTATATTGTTTGTTTGACTCCAAAACATCAGTGGATATGTAAAAGTATCTATCTCTGAATTGAAATTGAAATATCTCTAATCTAGTGGACTCTGTGAAGAACATAAATTTGGTTCAGCCTTTGTACGGAGGATAAAAAAATATGTGATGTATTCTCTGAGAAAATCATACGCAAACCGTGTTTTTGGTGGGAATTGAAGTGGGGATTTTGGACATCTCGTTTTCCTCAAATTTAATCATCTCAATTTCTTCGTTTCTGTTTTCTATGTACCAAATTACAAGAATGTGACATCTCTTTATCCTCTCGCCTTTTGGGTTTGAGAGAGAACCAGGTAAAGAAAGGCTCAAACTTAGTTTTGGACGAAAGCTGTGTTTTGACACAATGAAATGAAATTATTGAAAATGTTTAACATATATAAATACCCATGAATGAGATGACATAAAATAATTAGATTTTAAGAGCTCGTTTGCATTATTTGTAAAATTCATAAAGCATATAGTGTTCTTTGTATTCGTTTAATTCTTGAAGATTCCAAAACTTGAGTGTTGTTTGCTGAAAATTCGTGTATTTGAATTACCTTTTACATTTGTCGAATATCATTGTATTTTGGAAGCGTTAGCCGTAGACTGCGGATAATATATATTGGGGGCTATTTTTTTTTAAAGAGTGACTTGACATGCCTTGACTTTAATTTTCTTTTTATTTCGAATTTCAACTCTTAATATTCACGTACACAAGTAAGAACACCATCTGTAATTTCAATCTTACTATTTTAAGATTTGGTTTGAAATTTGGATGCCTATATAGAAATGATAAAAAAATCCATTATTTGACTAGTATAATTCTTATGTTCAGTGGCGGTGGATCTTGACAGCAAACAAAAAATAATTAGGTAAAGCATATTTTACTAAGCACCGGCAGGTCATATGCTGATGTCACATCAATTCACTTTGGAATAGCAGAAGTCAATAATTGGTGTGTTTTAACTTCCATTGACTAATTGGAAGGCTTTGTCAAAGATTTTGTCATCGTTGACAAATATATAGTACTGATAAAATTCACATAATGAATATAATAAATTTTAACCGAGGGTTCATATTGAAGGCATTTTCATCTTCCTCGTACCAAATCAATTCAAAGCTATTTACTACAATCATGGTCATGACTAAAAATTTGTAAAATGTATCATATATAAAATGGCATTTATCTGTCACCCATGAACATGAACAATGTGCTTGTAACACGGCAATGAAGTTGAGAGTCAACATTTTTGTTATTGGGTGTTATTTCTTGTTCTTAATGATGATTGGTCCCATTAACTCCACAATTTCATTATTATTAAATCCGTAGTTTCTGTACTGTGTGGGTGACATATCAAATTATAAAGAATATATTCAATAGAATTTTTTATACATATATTTTATAGTACTAGTAAAGTGCACGTGCAATGCACGTGAGAAAAATTGAGTTGCTTTGGATAATGAAGTACGTGTTGTTGTTCTGAGTTGCACAATATCATTTGTAATACCTTTTATATTTTCTTCTTGCCATTTTGTACTGAAATATATTTAGTGAGAATTTGAATATATTGAAATAATATATGAAATTACCAATGCATAACTATTCGAAAGAGAATGGTTTCCAAATTAAAATAAAAGTCAAATAACGTGCTATGCAAAAACAAATTGTCTATAAAATAGAGAATTAATTAAATAAGAAACTAATACGAATTACTTTTCTTCAGTTCTTATCTTTCTTTATGTTGACCAATGGAGATGATTTTCTTCCTTTGGCCTTTGTACTTTTTCTTGCATATTTCTTCTTAAGACTACCATCATGTGTAGTTTGCGGCCTTGCAGTTGCCTCTGCAACTGCATTGAATTCTCCTCTTGAGTTGAACAACTTGTCATTGACTGGAATTAGGATTTGAAATTCATTTGGACTGTAAGCTCAACCCTCTTATCATTAATAGGACATCCAACGTACACCGTTGCGACATCCCCAAATAAAGTTATAGTCTTATTTTGGTTATCTCCCACGACGTTTAAGACCAACCTATGTCTGCGATGATTGTATATTTTTTGTAAATCTTTTTGTATACATAAAATATTTGATGTGGTCTTTTTGTGATGATTAATACCTTTGAGTTGGTTCCACGACTTTGTTGTTGCACTTTTTGCATAACTTGTTGTCATCGTTCTTCTCAGTTGCAGCGCCACAATTTTTACATGATTCATACCGCAAAGATGATTTATTCATGATCTTATCCACGTATTCTTTGAAAGAATAGAATTTGAGGACAATGACTGCTGTGAACAAGCATATTTAAGGTATTATCAAGTAAGTATAGACTATTTATTTAATATGATACAATCATATTAAGTATAGAATTTCATCACGTGAATTTTCTACTCAATGTGTAGATAATGTTGTCGTTGACACATGGAGATATTTAGAGTGTGTTTGTATAAAAAAAAAAAATAAATCTGCTCAAAATGAGTTTTTTTGGTTAACCAGTTTAATTTTTAAAAAAGTAGTATGGTTAGTTGATAGTGATATTTTGATTTTATATTAAAATAATATTTAAAATAAAATAATTAAGTTTGATTTGATGTAAAAGTAGGATAGAGATGGTGTGAAGTGATGGTTAGTTAAAATTATGTGAGATGATGAATAGTAAATTAAAGTTGATATAATGTGTAAGAATTATTGGCTGGTATTATTTAATTATATTGATAATATTGAGAATAGTGGAGTTGGATTAAAGTTGAGTTAAATTCTGAGTATGAATTGAGTATGGATTGGATTTTTTTTTATATACAACCACACCCTTAGCACGAAAAAATTTGACTTATTTATTTTACTTGTTTATCTAATATGATTTAAGGTTACAAATTCGACATCTTTCATCTTTTATTTTAAGGTTACAAATTCGACATCTTTCATCTTTTATTTCATCGACATTTCAAGCAAATTCATAGGCTTGTCATGTTCTTGCAACCTAATAAATATTAAATAAACACGGAAGGTCTTATTATTTTAAATTATATTGTACTATATTACATCTACTTTCTTGAATCTATACTTATATAATAAAAATTAACATTTATCCAAAATAGTAGGTCAAATTATGGTCAATGTCGGATTTGCATTAAATATTTTCCAAAATTAGTAAGTTTTTGTACTTTTCACACTTCTCATTAATTATGTCTTTTTCACACTTCTCATTAATTATGTCATTTTTACACATCTAATTAATTCATTAATTACAACATAATTATCATAAATCATTCCATCTGAACTTTTATCGTTAAAATGTATAGTAATCTGTTATGACCTTATCCCATTGATATTTCCATGAAGCGTCCTTATCACGTTCTATTTTTTGGTAACCACTCTATATCAATAACCGGATATTTGGTTAATATAGCACACATCTTTATTTGAAGGAGCGGATATTCTTTGACCTTTAATTAATCTGAACTGATTGCCTTGACTTTTCAATTTTTAAAAACTCTTTTTTTAAATATTTCGGCTTAAGATTCGGATTTCATTATACAAGTCATCGGATTGTTTGAATGAAAATGAATGAAAAGAACACCAAAAACAGGTAGCCTTATTCATATAATCAATCTTAAAATATTAGTTTGTTCACCAAAAAGAGACAAATCCTAGAAATCCTAAAATATTATTGTTCACCAAAAATATTAGTTTGATTTTTAGGATTTGTCTCTTTTGAAAATATTAGTTTGTGATAATGAGGAGTTACCAAATAATCAAACTCATAATGTTGTGTACAAAGAGGTTTTTAATAATATATGATTGTTACCGAACTTTTTATGATTCAACAATGTTCCTATGTATTTTAATGATTTCAATTTCGATCCTAATGCACGTGAGGTTATATTATTCTTCCATATTTTATATCTCGTGCATCGCACGGGTTACGTACTAGTTTAGAGTATACCATTAACGAAATTGCTTGTTTTCTTCACAAGACTCGTTGATTTCCAGAATAGATGTGTTGTTTGTTTGCAATTGCATTTGACCTTATGATATAAAAGTGAACAACATTAGAATAGAAAGTCCCGTTGTTTCACCAATAAAAAGCTATAGAATATAAATACCAATTCTAAAAATTAATTATTTTTAGTATTTATTAATAAAATGTATTACGTCTTACCGTTATATATCTTCGGTATTTTTAGCTTATTAACGTTATGAACGGCCTTTGTGCAACCATATCATGTATAGCAAATCCTTCATTTTGTGTCATATCATCCCATAAGGAGACTATAATGGATCGACACCAGTAAACACAAAAAATGTAACTATTTATATATAATGTTGTTATTATTATTATTATCATCATTATCATCATCATCATCATCATTATTATTATTATTATTATTATTATTATTATTATTATTATTATTATTATTATTATTATTATTATTATTACAAATATATTTTTAAATATAATCAATGTTTTAAATTAAATATTTATTAAGATTTGTGTAATTCAATATTTTAAATACGTAGAATTAAATACTCACTTCCGGTCCATAATAGTAATCTCACTTATGGGCGTTGTTGCTCCCGTTGTTTCTGTAATAATCTTGGACTCTTTCACCTTCATCAACTTCCACATATATATCTGCGAGCAAGAAAAATAAAATGTACTTGTTGAAGTCATGTACATAATAGTATTAATAACCAAAATGAGAGTAAATATACATACCAATATTTTCATTTTCATGAAGTTGTACGTCAATATCTCCAAACTTCATCAAATTATAAGTGATATTGTGTTCTATTTCTTCAAAGGTGGGGCTGACTTTGGCGTAGTTGTTGGGATATTGTGTTCTATTTCTTCAACTGGATTTCCTTTTCTGGATGAATTGCTGTTTTGACATAGTTGTTGTTGATTTTTCATACTTCTCCATTCTCAATTGTGAAAGTTCTATTCAATTGAAATTTTTGGAGGAGTCATATCAAATCATGAGTCAAAACCACAAGCATATGTAATCCTTGAACAACAATGCAGGATCATAAAATCAATAAAATGAATTATTTAAATCTGTAATAAAACTTGCATCATATGAATTCAAGTTCAAAGAAAATAAAATGTGAATTTCTAATATCAAGACACTGATATGAAGTTCATGATACAATATACATAAGAGTCACATCAAGCTATCATCAAGCAAAAAAGATGATAGACAACAAGCAGCCTTCAGTAGCAAAAGGAACCCAAAAAAAGAAGAGGGAAAACAATCAAACCATTTTTCCCAAAACCAATCCTAAACAATGCAGTTCAATTTCGATGCAAAAAAGATGATAGACAACAAGCAGCCTTCAGTAGCAAAAGGAACCCAAAAAAAGAAGAGGGAAAACAATCAAACCGTTTTTTCCCAAAACCAATCCTAAACAATGCAGTTCAATTTCGATCTTTTGATAGCCAAATAAGGATTAACACTTGGTTCTTTATCGACTTTTCCCAATGCGTGGATATTAATATCCTCTGCTTTCAACATTCTTTCTCCGGTTACATGGGCCCGACGATCTAGCTCTGCATCAACGACCTTTTCAATCATTGCGTTTCCCCATTGCTTATCCGGGCCACTTTCCAAATCTTAGCTCAGGAGTACTCAAAGAGAGTGCTGTTGTGAGCGTACTCGAAAACCACTAAAAGTCTCACCTTCCTCACAATAACCTATAAGGTTTACAAAGTTGTTGTCACACGGGACAAATATCAATCAGTAATGATAGCAAAATAAGTACACCTACATTATCAAACTCATATTTGGGAGCCTTGCAAAAATGAAGAATAATAATATCTGTCAACTTACTAACCTTCAGGACTTCCTGAAAGCTAACTTCGCACTTTTAGACCATTCAATTATAATATTCTTCTCTCCACAAACACAAAGTAGAGTATATAAGGTCTCCGAAGTTCTGAATTTAAAAGAGGTATCATTACATTTTTTAGGATCTAATTAGTTATATTACAAGTAAGGATTGCCAACTTCATCCCATTTAGCAAGCACCTAGACTTACTGAATGTTAAAAATAACAAATCTATGCTCAAAGCACAAAAGGACCATACAGTAACATTTCATATTCATTTACTATTATCAATGCACAAACAAATTGACACGCACAAAAAAAGAATGAAGAGCTCCCAACTTAAAGGGAATACCCCCATTTTGGCATCAGTTCTAATGGAAATTATGTGCAAGGATCACATATGAATCCTCAGCCACAAATGTGAACCTCTCAGGTTCAAGAAACAAAGAATAAAGATTTTGCCACCAATCTACAGCCTTTCAAAACTTTCTTAATACGTCGAATAACTAAAGGTATATCCTTTTCGCAAACTGTTGCAAATTCAAAAACCGAAGGAACCAGGTTCAACACAATGGCATGAAGAACCTGAAAGGACAGTGATATTGGCTAAGGTGGACAAATTCTCCCAATATCGATTGCACAAGGCTGTGGGCTTCGAAATTTAATCAATTTTTCTATCCATAAGCATCTCTCCATTAGAATCAACAAACAATTTAACAATTTTTCTGCATTGAAAACGAAAAACAGGACACTGATTTAAGCCTATATATATAAACATCTACGAAAGTTATATTATTTTGACCACAAAATAATATATATATATATATATAATATATATATATAGATAGATAGATAAATAGATGATGTAGATAGAATAGATATAGATATAGATAAATAGATGATGTAGTCCACTTATTTTTGGAAAATGTGATTTTTGTAAATAGATGCATGAAATTTAAATATAACTAAAATTGTAATGTAAAAACAAAAAGTTATCGTAAATTTTGAACGGTAGATCATGGCGAATTCCTTAGAAAACATATTCCATCCTAACGGATCAATTCTATAACTACGCTTTTGGCTTATATGCACTTTTGGAATCTCTCCTCGCCTTCAACCGGCTGAAAAGGTCATTAGATATCGAAAGTCGTATAATTTTATCTTTAGAGGTCCAAACCCAATCTCAAAGAACAATTAGTACAGATTTGAGAGAGACTCTCACATTAAATGTTGGGTAGCCGAATAATCTTCATTTCAAAACCATATGTGCTTTGCTTCTATCGGGAAAGAATACAAAGACAAATTTTTTTAATTTTAATTTCTAAATATAAAACAGGAAAAATAAATTTATATACAATTTTGAAAGCATATAAAAGAAGATGACAAATCATGAGAAAGAGGCTCAAACTCCATCATCTGGGAAGCCCAAACACTAAACCTCATCAATTAGCCCACTTAAATTTTAGGCTAAGAATCCCTTAGTTGGGCTGAGACAGATGGCCCAAACCCCTATACAGACAGCGCCCTAAGCCCTATCGGCCTACCCTGTACCCTCCCAACTCTCTCATATTTATACAGAAGGTTCAGAAACACATCACATCAGTCTCAAGCAGCTATCAATCCACAGCACCTTTAAAAGCGTACAGATTGATTTGAGGTTTTTGATACGGAGTGTACGGACAAAGATGGAGGCCATAGCAGTTGCAGCGCCACCCAGTCAACAGCCGGAGGAGAAGATTCACAGCGATGTCATGCTCTTCAACCGCTGGTCATACGACGACATTGAGGTTCCAATTTCTCTTATCCTCTAATGAAGCATCACTTTGATTTGATCGGAAACTATTCGTTTATTATTGTAAAAGATGTTTGCGCTGAGAAGACGTAGATTTCGAGTTGTTCTGATTGTGTTCTCGCCCACTTTTTTTAGATTTTATCCTCAAATCCCTCTGCGGCTCTGCCATGGATTATGAATCTGGTTATAACATATTTTTGGTGATCATGGCGTTTCATGCTTTTTATTTACTGATTCTGAAGCTTAGCAAGGTTTGGTTTATCTGATCAATTGAATCAGTACTTGAAATCTCATATGTAGGCATTACAACAACAAATATTTATATAATGTTATTTTTATATGTTGAGAGGTGGTTTGCGTTCAAGTCCAATATAGATGGAATTGGGGTTAGCATTCTCAATTGAGAATGTTTATGTGATTTATTATAGGTTAAGGACCTTTCTGTTGAGGATTACATAACTGCAACTGCCGCCAAGCACCCGATCTACATGCCCCACACGGCCGGGAGGTACCAGGCCAAGCGGTTCAGGAAGGCCCTGTGCCCAATTGTCGAGAGGCTGACCAACTCGCTCATGATGCATGGCCGTAACAATGGTAAGAAGATGAAGGCTGTCGCCATTGTCAAGCACGCCATGGAGATCATCCACTTGTTGACTGATGCGAACCCGATTCAAGTTATTGTTGATGCAGTGATCAACAGGTGTCTTTCAGACCACTCGCTTTTTCGTTTTATGTTTTTTCTTTAATACGAAGTCTTGGAGTGGTGCCTGTTTAATGGGTTACTTCATGTATGTCCTCTTAGCCTGATCTGGAATATATGTGAGGTGGGATTAGATTATAATGACCAGTGTTATGTTTGTTTTGAAAAAAACTTGTGTTGGTGGGTGTCTATTTCTGAGGTAGATGATGAATTTGGATTTAAGTATGCTTGATGCAGAAAAGGTGGGGATTTGTGAACGGAAAATAAAGAAATGTAAATGTACGGAAATTTCCTTATGGCGGCTACTAATAAATCAGTGAACTTGTCAATCAAACATGTCATTTGTGGAAATGAACTTCTAAGTATGGATCAAGTTTTTTTATCCTTTAATATGAACGACGGGCATTGCCAATCTTCTTCTAACCTTATTTCTGTTTTGTCGGTTGAGGTAATCTGTTGGTTGAGGTAATCTGTGCGAATTATATTTTGTGGCTCAATGAAAAATTTTCCTGTACTTTCAGCGCATGGATATTTAATTTTTTTGTTTTATTCAGTGGACCAAGAGAAGATGCGACCAGAATTGGGTCAGCAGGTGTTGTGAGACGTCAAGCAGTTGATATTTCCCCCCTTCGTCGTGTAAATCAGGCGATATATCTGCTGACAACTGGCGCCAGAGAAAGTGCTTTCCGGAATATTAAGACTATTGCTGAATGCCTTGCTGATGAGCTCATCAATGCTGCTAAAGGTTCTTCCAACAGGTAAACTTGTTTTGTGTTGATTAATTACATTTTTAGTGTACTAGTAAAGTGCACGTGCGATCCACGTGGCGACGAATGTTTTTTACCGATTAAATTTAGTATGATAAATTAATTAATTTATTACACATATGACTGCAGGAACAAAATAAAATGTAGAATAAATAAACTCTCATGCATTTTATTTTAAATAAAAAAATGTTGTAGTAATATAAAAAAATTTATATATCATATTACAACTCCAACAAAAATATATGAAAAATGAGTTTCTAATGAAAAAATAATAAATGACTAAATAGAGACATAATGTATATTATAGATGCATGAGTTCTTTTATTTATTTATGTTAGATTCAAGAGTCATTTTGTTCTCATAAGAAACATTCATACTCGTTGACTTCTAATACATCAATAGTATTGCAAAATTCTTCTTAATTAATTTGACAAAACGTCTGTTTTATTCAACACTTAGAAATACATTAGCCAAACATATAGTCAAACTTTATAATTGTATGATTATTATAAGGTATTTCTACTAATAGTTCATGAGCATGTTTGTTTATAAAAAATTTTCAAAAAAAAAAATCTACATTTTAACTCAACCACTTTTTTTAACTCAACTTTAACTCACTCCCACTATCATCAAAATTATCAATATAATTAAATAATATCAATCAATCATTCATACACACCACATCAACCTTAATTCACTATTCATCCACTCACATTATTTGAACTAACCATCACTTCAAATATCTCTCTCATACTTTTACATCATATCAATTTAAATAATTTTATTATAAATATTATTTTAATATACCCACTAACAACTAACCATACCACGTTTTTTAAAATTAACCAAACCAAACTAAAAATTCTAAACAAAACCAAAAAATTTTATAAACAAACATGCTAAGTATCTCTGTGAAATAAACAATTGTAGCATTAAATTTCTTGATATTTGTGTCATTAAAATTCTTGATATTTCTTTTAATCACTGTATAAACTACTACATATATATCTCTCTCTCTCTCCACATAGACAAATTGGTACTTACCCATGAGGTGGGAACGAATTTCATCTCTAAATAAAATTTAATTTTCCCAAATCATGTACTTCTCTGAAGATGCTAAATTATTTTTTTGAAATCATCACACATTACATGAAAATATGTACTCTAAAACAATTGCGCGTATAATCGAGCATAATACACAGTTATGATTGTAAATATTCTTATAAAAAAGTGACAACTTATTCAACATTCAAAAATATTTTAATCAGTATCAAACATTCCCTTTTCAGTGTTACTAATTTGGAAGATAGATACCTTCCATATTCCTTCAGATTTGCAATATTTATGTGTCTAATAACATTTATTGCATTTATTGTCCAATCTTTTGTATCATAACTAATGCTTAAAATATTCAAGATAAAGATCCTTTATTGATTCTTCAATAATAACAAAACAAAACAAAACAATGAGACAATATTGAGAAGTATTAGTCAAAATATTTCAGATGAGAATAATTTGAATTATACTATATTATGATACTCTTAGTCATCTGTTAACTTTATTATTATGAAGTCATTATTGAAGTTTGTGGTCTATCTTATGATAATATCGAATCATTATTTATGAGAACTAATTTCTTATAGAGAACATATACTTAAATGCTAGCAACAAAAAAAGTAGTAATTTTAAAAGATTTTTGTTTCTTGATATTAGTATTCATACTTTTCTAAAAAAATTCAGAAATTTTCTTTTCCTCATTGCATTACTTTTGGTTTACTTGTTTTTTTTTTTATTTATTCACAAATAACATTTTATTTCTTGAAAGAATTAGAGAACATTTATATTCAATGCGTTCTTTTTATGTGTTTGATAGTAATAATATACTTGATAAAAATGTAGTTTTATATTGTTTATAATATTAAAAAGTTTTGAATTTATTTCCATGTTCTGATAAAATATTAAGTAACTAATTCATGTTTATATTCACAAAAAATACATTTTACAACCATTATGGTGTTCCCTTTCAAGCAATAATTGAATAATAGTTTAACATACAACCGATTTATTTTTTTCTTTTAATTCACATATTTAATATTGGTAATAGTTGTACAATTACATCTAGTTGACTTTTTTCTTAGTATGAATAATTCAAATCTATGTCAGAAAAATATACCACAAGCTTATCTTATATTATTTTATAATTAATAAAATTAATTTAACATGAATTTATGATTATTTTATAAGATTCTTTTAGGTCTATTTATTATTTTAAATTGGTATTGATATATATATATATATATATATTATTTTACATCGATATAAATAATTATATAATTTTTATTTTATTTACAAAACATTGGTAAAATCAAATATCATGGGAAAGAAATGATATGATATATCTATACTTATATAATAAGGTGTACCATTTACGAAATTTAGTAAGTTGAAAAGTCAATGCAATAAATGCATTACTATTTTGAGCAACATAATATAATATCATATTTATATTTATATAAAAGGAGATTCTATTTACTACATTTACTATCCAGAAAAGTCAAACTGCATTAAATGTCATTACTATTTTGGTATTATAATATTTTATTTATTTAATTAATTTATTTATTTATTTTATTTTAAAAAAGTAAGTATAATAAAAAGATTTTAATAATAAAAAAATCAAATACCAAATAAAAATGTACACTTTGACTTATTTGATTATATTTGGTATTTGATTATACCAAATATATTCCTATTTAGTATATACATTAAATACTTACTGAAGTATTTATTTGTTTTATTTGTAAAAGTTGAGTATAGATTTGTTTATATTATCAAATCATAAAAAAATATTAAATCCATATTGTAAAAAAAAAATCATATAATTTTATAACAATTCTACTACACTATTTAACAATATTTCTTTTTTATTATATAATTAAATAATAATTAAATATTATATGGTGAACAACAATAAGTAAAACTGTTACTTTCTCTTATATCAAGGGATAAATTTATATGCTAAAAAATTAAATTTTTATTAATATAAATATTTTAGTGAGATAATATATTAATTATTTTACAAGCTAGCCCTAACATGCTCATATTTAATGTTTTAAAAGATGTAGAAAAAAACTTATAATAACTCTATTGTTTTTTAGACTTAACGTTGATTAAAAGAGGTAAAAATTCCTAATTTTTTAGGCTTAAACGTTGATTAACACCATAGATTGAGAGTCTATATTTAGTAAAATTCCTAATTGTAATAAAAAAATTAATTTTTGCTATATTTTAGAATATCTTTAAATTCATTATTAAAAAAAAAGAAAAAAAACTACAATGAAAAAAGCAAGCTATATATCGATTTGTTGTACTTCTCAAATCACATTCACAATTTGGCTACAAGAAAAGGAAACTCATTGATTAAAATATTATTTTGTCAGTAGTCTTAATAGAGACTTTAAGACTCCACTTGAATATTATAAAACTTTTATTGAACATTGTACAATTTTCTTGCGTATTATAAACTTTTATTGAATATTGCATCTTATAATATAATATTCTCCAAATAAATATGCCCCGTGCTTCGCACGGGTCACGTACTATATATATCCCGTACATTTTTCTTTAATCATGTATATAATTATAAGCCTGGATAAATAGCCTTAAAATTGTGCACCCCGTGCATCGCACGGGCTCTGTACTAGTTACATATAAAAGGGTAACAAAAAAAAATTAAGTATTTCAAAAATAAGAAATTTAATGGTAAAAATTAACTAATTTTTTAACTAAAAATTTAATTTCTAAGACAAAAAAATAAATATATTTATTATAAATGTGCATCTCAAGTATATTTTTACATTTATCATTTGCTAGCTCCAATTGATATATGACATTTATTAATTTTATCATTTTTTTTAATTTTTGAGTGAAATGTCAGTTATAAGCTTTCTCGTTGTGTAGTTTTACTTTTTTAAGAGATGTGGAATGTTTTATTCATTTAATTGTATTAAATGAATAAAATATCAAATGAGTATTAGTGCATTACTAATTTGAGATTAAAAATATGTCAAATAAAAGGGTTTTTAGGTAAATATTAGTTATTAATAAAAAAAATATAAGATAGGTTATATATTATGTTATTACTAATTTGCCATTAAAAATATACCAAAGTAAGGGTATATTAGTTAGTTCTTTCTTTAACAGAAACACTCATCCTTTTATAGTAGTATTCTGAGTTACCATTTTAGTTAGCACAACATTTAGACATAGAATATAATAAAACATTTGGACTAAATATTACATAAGATTATTTTGTAGATATTGTTTACAAGAACCAATATGTTTTGGTGGACTTCTGTGGAAGAGTTATTTTTTTTTCAACAGCTACTTAGCTAAGAGAATTATAACAATTTCTTCAAAGACCACCTCAATCTCCATCATTTTTAGTAAATTTAGAATTATTTGAGTCATACTTTGGGCGTGGATCGTAATAGTTTTCAATGTTATGCTAGTTTTCAATGTTACGTTATTATTTATTTAATTAAATATTAATGATTAATTAAAAAATATAAGATTTGAAGATTATTAGTGTATTACTAATTTGTCATTAAAATTAAGTCAAAGTAAGGGTTTTTTAGGTAGTTCATTTGTTAATTAAAAATATAAAATAAGATGAGTATTATTGTATTACTAATTTGCCATTAAAAATATGTCAAAGTAAGGATTTTTTAGGCAGATCATTATTTTTACAAAATCACTCGTCCTTTTATAATAGTATATATAGATAGATGACTTTGTTCTGAAATTCCTTTGGTACTGATATCAATTGTTGTGTTAGATTCTAATTCAGTGTATCCTGTAACTGTATATGCAGCTATGCCATCAAGAAGAAGGATGAGATCGAGAGGGTTGCCAAGGCCAATCGTTGAGAGGCGTATCATTTTGCAGGATCAACAGTTTTGATTTTTTTTCTACTTCATTTTTTTTTTAGGATGGTGGGATTTGTGGTTTCGGTCTGAGGTTTCAATTATGGTGTCATGGGTTTTTCCATCGATTAAGTTATCCAATAGACCAATTGCTTCATCCTGAATATATGTTGGCTGCTGCACACGCCTTTTCTGTATTGTTATTTTGTTTATGGTAGTTTCATTTGCTTCAGTTTTACCTTCGTTTGTAGAAAAATTACATATCACTCCCAGTTATAAATGACCTAAATTTGAAGTTCCATTGTTGATGCATTAGACTTTTTGTTATGAAATGGTTTTTACTTTTTATTGTGTTATATAAGC